AAGAAGGAACAGGAAAAGGATGGCCTGAGGTATCACAGGAAGCAACAAGGACCTACCCTTTGCATCCTCCAAATTGCAAAAGGAAACACTTTGCTTAGAGGACAACGCTGTAGAGCACCAAGTTCTGTAATGACAGTTGCAGCATTGGGTTCCAGAATGGCAGTGGCGTAGTGAATTTGTTCCTCAGAATAGGATTCACAGTAGCCAACAACCCAGGCACTTGAGCTGTTCAGCCAAAAGAGCAGAAAGCCTGACTCCTCCTCCAGCTGGAAGCAGACATTAGCATCATCCACATAACTTTGTTTTGTGTCACATGCAGAAAGAGCTCTGAGGTCAAGACGGCTTCCACCTCAATTTCAGAAGAGCAAGGAGGCCAGGCAGTGTGCCTCAGGGAGGGGAGTGTGTGAAGCTGTAAGTGAGAAGCAAAGAGTGCAGCAGAGAACCCAGAAGTTAGGAGAAAACAGGCTTGTGGATTGTCTAGGAAAACTGCAAGGAGGGAGCAGAGCAGGTCCAAGAGAGAAGCCATGGTAGCTACAGCCACCAAAAGTGCCAAGGGGTGAAGCCATGTGGAGCTCACTATTTGCCACAGATTGCCTCGGATGATGAATGTGGAACTAAGTACAGGACTAAATGTTCACCCTGATGGACTTTGGATTTGCTTTGGTGCCACTGATTTGTATTTTTGTGTGTACTTTTTGGAATTGAATCTTGAAAAAAAAAAAGAATGATAAACTCAAAACCTTTATATTGAAGTGGATGCCACTTGAACATATACTCATAACTGAAATAAACCAGACACACATGTGTAAATATCATATAGTCTCCCTAGTATAAGAACTCAAAAGAAGAAATGCAAATAGAAAGGTATAATACAAGTAAAAAGAAAGCAGGATCTCAAGGACTAACTAATCAAGAGAGGGAAGGGAGAAGAGCAAGGAAACATGAATAAGTGAAGCCATACAGTTATTTGCAGAAGATGAGCAAGGCAATGATCCTGAGAATCTTCAGAAGATTTTTGAATCTGGCAGTTAATTGGAAAGATTCTCACCCTGACTAACTATGTATATTGATACCTGTGAACTAAGCTACTGCACTGCAGATGGTAATTTGTAATAGTAGTCTCTTGCTTTGAGTGCCTGTCATTCTGGTCTTCTGAATACAGGGTGCTTGGAATGACATGCCAGTTGCTGCTATGATGTCTCCCGGGTAGATGGTTGTTCAA